TCTAGGCGCCTGGAGCTCGTGGTTTGTCTAAACGTTACCTTTTTCCTGCCCAGATTTTTATAGTTGATGCCATTGCTCTTCTAGCCATTTAGTGCCTGGGATTGACTCTAACGTAGGGAGTGAGAAACAGGAAGCGGAAATAATGCTACTGTTCCTTCCGTTCCAAAGAGGGAAACAAAGGTTAAAAGACGACGAGAGAGGTCATCACGCCAGGGCACCAGGGTTTGGGGAATCAGAGGCACACAGGGCTATCCCAGGGGCCCACACGTGGCAAGAACAGGTTTCTAGAACCAGAAACACCTCTGTATTATTGCCTGAGCATTGCTTTCCAAGTCTCTGATCTCAGCACAAATGTCTCCCTAGGTCGGTCAGTATCATTTAGTTACCCATTTCTCCTACATAATTTTGCTGTTTATACATTAATTCTTGTAAAAGTCTGATAGCGAACTAGGAGCAACTGACCTGTATTTGACAGCCCACCTGATCTCCTGCTGGTGGGAGAAAAGCAGCATGTGCCACCCCCACTTCACGCTGGGCTGGAGGCCTGGCTGCCCCTTTAAAGGATGAAACTGTCAGGAACTGGAGCTGAAGGGTCCGGGGAAGGCTGCAGCCACTGCAGAACCAGGCCAGGGACTGCAGAGCATGGGACAGGCTCTTCCCTGAGCCGGGAGCAACGGGACGTATACACCTCCCCTCCTGACGTGACGCATCATTGGCTCCCAAGCTGTAATCCGTCTAGATAGCAAGGTATCGGTGTGTCCCCGCCTGCTGTCGTCTCTGAGTGCCTTACAATAGCAGTGAGGGAGATGCCACTGGGCCCAGAGATGTAAGTGACTGTGTGACCTTGGGCAAGAGTCTGTGGTGAGCTGGGACTTGAACATCACTGCTAATTGGCCTAGGCACAGGAGATTAAAACAGATTTCTGTGCTCCATTTACTTTCCAAACATTCTTTCAAACCACTATTCTCCTGCCATGAAATCTGTTTTTCCAGGTTTGCGAATGATGCCCTATATTCAGCATTCTGTGATACTACAGATACCTGAAGAGTCAGCTGCCAGAGGAGACATCACAGGCACCAGGAGGGTTAGCAAAAGATTTCTGGTACTTGTGACGCCCAAGAGAGCTAAGGTCTCCTTGTAAACCCACAAGAGAGAACGGATTCAAATGGAGAGGGAAAATAATTTGATACGGTTAAATTAGAACAGACTCCTGCCATAATTATTGGGGGCTGATATTATTACAAAAGCTCAAAGATCATATCAAAGGATTGTCTGCAAATATCTGTTCTTCAAATCAGCAGCTCTCAATCTTTCCAGACGACTGAACCCCTTTCAGCCATGGGCAGCAGGACTCAGGCTTCAGCATGTCTCTCGGCTTCGCGGGGCTCCTGCTTGCCACCCCCTAATGCCAGCCCGGCACTTGCAACCCCCCAAACCATCCCACCACCCCCAGGTTGAGAAACACCAATATAGTACATAGAGCAGTATAAACAAGTAATTGTCTGTATGAAATTTCAGTTGTCTATCAGGGATGGTACAGACAGTATTTGGTCCTGCCATGAGGGCAGGGGACTGGTCTCGATGACCTCTCGAGGTCCCTTCCAGTCCTAGAATCTATGAATCTATGACTTCGCTAGTGCTTTTTACATAGCCTGCCGTAAAACTAGGCAAATAAATAGAATCAGAGAATATCAGGGTTGGAAGGGACCTCAGGAGGTCATTTAGTCCAACCCCCTGCTCAAAGCAGGACCAACCCCAACTAAATCATCCCAGCCAGGGCTTTGTCAAGCCTGACCTTAGAAACCTCTAAGGAAGGAGATTCCACCACCTCCCTAGGTAACCCATTCCAGTGCTTCACCACCCCCCTAGTGAAACAGTTTTTCCTAATATCCAACCTAGACCTCCCCCACTGCAACTTGAGACCATTACTCCTTGTTCTGTCAGTAATATCTAGATGAGCTGATGTACCCCCTGGAAGACATCTGCATATCCCCAAGGGTACATGCACCCCTGGTTGAGAACTGCTTCAAACTGATAATATGCCAGTACAATCCAGAACTGCTTCATGTGTACCTCTGTTTTAGAAATGTCTCCATCTGCTATTACGTAGTATTGCAAATTATGACATCAAAAGTAGCTCTAGAAATCAAAACTCCTTTGTCTCTTGAGTATCTGCCCTGAGCTCTGCTGCATGACACCAGAACCTTTAAATTGTGCCCTGCCACTATCAGCAGTTACCAGTCGCCTCTGCCTGAGCACCTCATCGCTGATTAATCTATCCCGCCCATCCTTTGTGGTTCTGATATCTCCTTCAGTAGAGCTCAGGTTTTAGACATTGTACGTGTAGTCACTCTCTCTACACTTACTGTGAGTGAGTGCCATTTGGAGAAACAGCAACAAAAAGAAGTGGAGTTTATATGTTCTCTAGTGTTTAGATATGGGAACAGGGACTATGGGAGCTCTGGAGGGGCACACGTGGTGTTACAGAACAAGTGTTTACAGTTATATGATCTGTCTGAATTTGTATTTTACGACAGTAATTAGTACTCAGCTCCACCACCAAATCCCAATTATGCAGGGTGTGCATCAATCTTCTATGTTCATAGTTCAAAAATATAACTAGGCCCTGGGTCTTCAAAGCCAGAAATCAATTTTTTGGGGGGAAAAGTGGTGGAAATTCTGAGCTGAGTTAAATGACTGGGAAGAGATGCCTTGTTTCAAGTTAAGATCAGATTTATTTTCAATCTTTTTGGCAATGATAATTTGTAATTTTCTACCCAGTTATGGAGATTAATGGATAACTGTAGTTGCAGCATCAGCTGTACACCAACACCACTTGCTGTTCTTGCAAGAGTGCAAATCACAAGGACAGGTCCAACATAAGCAAGTGAACCTTTTAGGAAGGAAAAGACTTGGGCAGTGCCTTGACACAAACCTGGGAAATGGCTTTTCTACCACAAGAGGCACAAGTAGAAGACAGAACAGCCTCAAGGGGCAGTTTCTGGCCGGGGGGGGGGGGGGGGGGGGGGGGGGGGGGGGGCGGCTTGCCTGGGCAGAATCGTTGCTCTTGTGCTTACTGGAGTAGAACTTTGGCCTTTTCCTGAAGAGCCTGACACGGTTCTTCCAATGATGCTGTCCCAACAGGATCCAGCCTAGGGTCTCAATAGCTGAGCTCCCGGGGAGTCTGGCTGCAAAACTCCCAGGCGATGAGACAGAAAGGAGCTTCCTGCACAGAGGGTTAATGGTCCTGCCCAGCGAAGGAGCATTTCCAACTGTTTGTTTCTTCAGCCAGTCTCACACATTTCCTGCACCCTGCCAGCACAAAGCCTGTGCCCAGGTGTGACAGGCGCTGCCACTTTGGCAGCTTTAGGTATCAACAACAAAAAATAATTCACCCTGGTATGACCCCCATTGACCAGAAGCGCTATAGCAGGGACCAAGCATGCTCACTGCCCCCAGAGAAGCTGAACATACACCTGCCTTTACTTTCAAGGTTTACAGTTACCAAAACACCTTACCGGGGGACTGCCCAAGGGAACCATCTCCTTCAGTTCTGACTCCTGTTGCACAAACCCCGAGCTACCTTCAGAGACCGCAGTACAGACACGCCTGGTTAACCCCCTTAATTCTTAGACTTCAGCTGTATTCAGATTTAAAACTGAGTCCTAAAGCGTTTAGCAAAGGCCGAACCTGGAGAGAACAATGCATGTTGAAAAGGGACTAGTCAGCCCAACTCTGGCCTTAGGCTAAGCAGTCAGCAGAAACTGGAGCTATGGAGCCAAACTCCTCTCTGGTAAGAACTCCAAAGATGTCAAATGCAGTTACAACAGGGATGTACGTGGTCCAGCAACAATCCAGTACTGCAAGAATACTCCAGATTTCTCACTATACAAGACATGTAAAGTAATATGCACTGACAGAGTTCCCACCTTTCCATGCTCTCACTGATTACATACATATAGTTATGCACATTTTCTGTCAACACACAAAGTAAGCAAGCAGAGTGACTGCTGCATTTGAGCTTCATTTAACTGGAACCACCTCTTCAGTACTGGGATTCTGCTTTTAAATGCAATATAAGATGCTACTGGTCACCCCCCAAGGAATAATGGTGCTATCTGCCTCCCATTGTTGCCCCAAGGGCAAATGATTTATTGGTTTGCCCTTCTGAACTGTGCTATTTCTGTAGAACACAGATCAGCCAGCAACCTGGAGACTGGAAACAGGTTAGTGAGCACAATATTGTGCTCTCTGGTTGAGAATGTTGGCTGCTGGGAATTTATCCTCCTACTTAAAAGGAGTTGAATTCCCCACTAATTGAAGTAAATTCTTCTCCGATACAGCCAGTGCGCTCTACACCCTCAGAACATATTCTCAAATAGCAGAGTGCCCTGCCCTCCTGCCAAGGACCCATGGTACATGACACCCGAGTGGTTTAAAAACCCTGCTTGATTGCGACAGTTCATTAACTCCCAAGCATAGTATGACAGCGAGGGGTGTGCATGCAGGCTGAAAATGTATGTTTCCCTGCCCACCTTTCCCTGGTCTCCATTATGAGCTCAGCGACACCAGTCTCACTGGTGCTTGGCCTGTGATTAGCAACAGATTATTTTCACTGAATGCCTAGTCCCCCTGCTCCTTGCCATTGTGCTGTGCTGAAGCATGGCATTTGGAAGTGAGGGTATTCCCAAACTAGCATCTTCTGGCTGCCACCACCTTGTTCTGCCTCAGGCTGGGGGGTTCTTTTGGGTTTCTTGGAAGTGGAGAGAGACAGGGACGATGAACATCAGGCAGCATATCCTCACCGTGGAGAGGGGAGAACGTCCCCAGAACCAGCCGCTCCTGTGAGCTGCTCAACAGCGATAGCCTGGAGTGTACTTGGTGAGCTAACACTGTGTGTGAGGCACAAAAGAACAGTGAGATACTTGAACATATCGACAACAAACCAAGAACCCAAGGGCTATTTGGCAGGGCTCCCAAGCAGAATATTGCACTCAGTGGTCACTAATGCTAGAAGCTTTAAACTGTGTAGAAAATTAAATGGTTTTGCACATTACAAAAATAAAGATAAACCACATTGTTCTACACTAGTTACTGAACAGCAGTGAACTTCAGATGAGTGATCCCGCTTCCACATGAAATAGAACCAAACTGGAGTGCTCTAAATACTGCCATCAATCCCGACATTATGGCTATTTGTGTACAGCAAACAGAATCCCTGAGAAGCCGTTCACACTGTTCGTTTGTCAAGCAGCTCTTCCTTGGAGGATGATCATGATTCTGAGGTTCAGGTGTAAAACATTTACTCAGTTCTGCTTTACCAAGCCACGGCATTTATTCCTTGAAAACATCTGAACTCTTCTTGTTAGTGTGTCCATAGATCATGCTGAGTTATCAGGAAACGGTCCTCCAGCTGGGAAAGAGATTCCACTCTGGAGTTTTCTTTTCCTCACTTATCACAGCAACAAATCACTAGTTTCTTCCTCTGGGGAAAATAAAGAGAGACACATCAGTGGCAGTGAAGAGAACAGGAGAATGTTTCCAAATGTGGGAAATGATGGGAGATCCTTGCTATTTATCCAGCCCCAGCTCTGGGCACAAACAAAGCCTGTATCCATGTGGGCATTCTGTGCCTCTCCTGCCCCCTCCAAGCAGTGACACTGAGCTCCAACAGCTGGAGAACATGCTACCTGTAAGGCTGGCCTTGTCTCTACGCCCCTTTGAACATCTGTGTCCTCCCACTCCCCCAACATTTGTAGGTGAATTTAGTTCACTGGTGGGTTTTATGATAGTGCTAAGTAGACCATGACTGCGGTGCCAGCAGAGCCCTGTCCCCAAGCCATTCTGCTCCTGGAGGAAACTGCTTTTTATTGAGCCAGAGGATTTGGAGGTTTTCCCCAAAACCAGAGCTAGGGAGTTCTTAGCCCAGACTAGCATTCCCAACCCTCTCATGCTGGAAAGGTTTTGCCAACACCTAATACACACTAGCTAGTGCAGATCACATCACTCAAATAGTTAAGATATTGTAAAGAAGGAGGAGCTGCATCTTTAGCTAACTATACATTATTTTAACTGTAAACAAGTTAAGAAAGAAAAGAAGCCAGCTACACACTCCCCGCTGACTCTGGCTTGTACGGCTTCAACTGGTCATGACTAGAGATTGGTCCAATCCAGAGCTCCATCTGTGAGCGTCTGTGTTCCCGATTTGGGGATGTACAGGTCTTCGCAGCTCAAGCTCAGGTTTAATTAGAGGACTTCCAGAGAGCTGATGATTCAGTATTCATCCAAACCTGACCATCACCAGCTGTGGCACAGTTCATGGGAGCAAACACCAAACTATTCCTGAAAAGGAAGCAAGGCCTTCCCATTTTAACGTGTGCCTTGTGGTTCTGTAACATTTCTCAAGCTCTCAGCCACAGGGGCACTCAGTACTCCTGGGGGGATTCTGCGCCACTGCGCACGCACAGAAACATGTCCCGCTCCTGATTCTCTTTGCTTCCTTGCAGAAAAATAATTTCTGTGGGGAAGCAAAGAGAAGCTTTACCAGTGCTCACTGCGACGAAGTGGGGATTTCCCCTTGTTATGTTGTATGTGAGTCTTACTGTTGTGCATGAATGCTGTGTGTGCCTCAGTTTCCCTGTGTATTGCACCAATGTCTAGGTGATGGGAATTTTGCGGGGGCTGCTCCAGCTGCCTGCACGGATGCCATGGAGACCCAGGAGGGAGATGCGACCAGATGACTCTTGACCAGGGAAGCGAGACAAAGGCCGGAGGAGGAGGAGCAACAGTCAGGGTAGGGGCCAGGCAGCTGGAAGCGAGTCAGTCTCAGGTGGCTTGGCGGAGGGTCAGAGCCCTGGCTCTGGGCTCCCCTCCCCCGAAGATGGACTTGGATGAAAGTCACTGATTTCTGTGCTAACAAGTTCTGTTCTACGCTGTGTTCCTGTCGACTAATAAACCTTCTGTTTTCCCGGCTGGCTGAGAGTCACGTCTGACTGCGGAGTTGGGGTGCAGGGCCCTCTGGCTGCCCCAGGAGCCCTGCCTGTGCGGACTCGCTGTGGGAAGTGCACCATGTGGAAGGGGATGCTGAATGCTTCGAGGTCAGACCCAGGAAGGTCGAAGCTGTGTAAGCTTCTTGCCCTGGAGACAGTCTGCTCAGAGAGAGGAGGCTCCCCCAGAGTCCTGACTGGCTTCATATGGAGCAGTTCCAGAGCATCGCCCGGTGACTCCGTGACACTCTTTCACTCCTCCCTGGCAGTGCAGGCGCATCTGCTTGGGAACCTGGAGCAGCCAGGGGAGAGGCAAGTCACTGCAGGAGGTGGGGGGGAAGAGTCCAGATGCACGGGCATTGGGCAGACAGGGGAGCAACTCCCCGTACAGTGATTCTCCCGCCATTTCCTGGCCCTATCGCTCCTCAGCCACGGGGGGAGGGGTCCCTGTACAGGGAGCTGCTCCCCCTGTCCACCCAACCCCCGTGCATCTGGATCCCTCCCCCCTCCCCCCAGAACCCCCCCACGAGGCCCCCCTGCATCGGGAGCCCCTTGCAACCTCCCACAGAATTCCCACCATGCTGAGCCTCACCCCTGCATCAGGAGCCCCCAGTACCCAGACTTCCCCACACCCAGAACACCCCCACTGAGCCCCCACATTCAAAGCCCCACCCTACAGAGACTCACCCCATGCTTCGGGAGCCCCACACCCCCACACCACTCAGTCCCAACCAGATGCACAGCTGCATTCTGACCCCCACCCCACCAAGATCCACTCCTCCAGCAGCCAGATCCCCCTGCTGAGCCCTAACTACCTTCACCTGGACTCCCCTGCAGAGTCCCATTCCCTCTGCACCCAGAACCCCCATCCAGATCCCCTCCCCCACACCGGGCTGCCCACAACCTGATTGCTCCACACAGAATCTGGTACTCTTGAGGGAATTCTAAACCAAAATTTAAAAATTCTGCGCCAAAAAATCAAGTTTTAAAATTCTGCATATTTTATTTGCCAATATAATCACATCATTTTCAATTATTTTGGTAATTTATTTCAAAATACTTTTCAGCAAGAATTGAAAATAGTGTGATTATAGTGTGTTATTTTGACAAATATGCAGATTTTTGCAGAATTTTAAAATATTGTGTGCAGAATTTTTATTTTGGGGGCACAGAATTCAGGAGTAACTCAGTGTGGTGTGCCGAGGTCTCTGCCATTCACGCGTTCCATGGCGTGCTGATTCGGCTGTCGTCTCTGCGGGAGCACCTCAGGAAGCCCTTGCAACTGAGGTTTTTTGACTTCAGTGGAGAATCACAACATATCGGTTCCCTTCCACAGCACAGAAGTGTTTAAACAGCAGCTTGAGCAGTGTAGCTTAGCAGCTTTACCTTCTGGATCAGTACATTAGATGCTACAGAGAAATCATTTTTACTACTATAAAAAAACCTCTTCAATCAAGCTGCCTGGAGCTGCCTACACGACCAGCACTCCCCTGCCCACAAATGCTATCAGTGCATTTTACATTAGTGCTGAGAAGTGAGGTGGTCTCCAGCGCCCAGACGGCTCACTGACTATTTGATCAGAGACAAAGGGTTGAGGTCAGACTGCATTTTTCTTCTCTAGCGACAACCCCCGCTCGGCTCTCACAGCAAGTCTGCATCTCAATAGTGCTGAACTGCTCTTTCTGGTATCCGGTTATTTCAGGGGTCACCGACCCCAAGTGATCTCTGTTTGATAGGCCAGGATGAGCCTAAAATGCTCCAAAACAAAACCATGGAAAGCACCACCGTTAGCACAAGGGAGACAGAGCACTCTGGTTTAGGGCGACGCTCCCAATCCCTCAGACTCTGCACTATGCAGAGTGGTTCCCTGTCCTAACAAAAGAACGGCCGTACTGGGTCAGACCAAAGGTCTATCTAGCCCAGTATCCTGTCTTCCAACAGCGGCCAATGCCAGGTGCCCCAGAGGGAATGAACAGAACAGGAAATCATCAAGTGATCCATCCCCGGTCACCCATTCCCAGCTCCTGGCCTCATTCCCCAGCTCCTATTATGTTCACTCTCTCCTATTCCCACCAAGTTCCCCCACCCCTTTTTCTTACTCACACATCCTTCTCCACAGGAAACATCCATGTGGGAAGCCAATCACTCCCCACAGCTGTGGGGAAGCGTCCCCTCAACCCCACTATGGTCCTGTTCCTGGAACCAGTGCAGGGGTCTTTGGGGTCAGCCTTCAGTGGGTTCTAGATAACCCCTCTGCTTGTTGGAAGGGAGAAGGAGCTCTCTCTCTCCTCCTGTCCCACCAAGGGACCTGGCAGTTCACAGTCCAGGCGAGGAGTCCACGGTCACTCTGCTCCCCCAACACAGCTCGCAGGCCTGTCTTTGATGCTACTCACAGCTTTGCCAAGCAGCAGAGTGAGGCTGCCCCTATTCTTGGTGATGTTACTGCTGCTCGCAGCTTCAGGAAGTGCCACGCATGAGCAGCAATGCTGGAGCCATCTGCCGGCAGCCTCAGGAAGGCAGTTCTGCACCTTGCCCCACACAGGACACTGCTGCGAGTTTCCCTCAGGAACCGCAGGGGTACAGCCCTCACGAGCAGGAAGCAGGCCCTTAGAGTCTGCAGAAGCTGAAGGCACTTGGCCAAGGGAGCCAAAGGCTCCTCCAAGCCCTGAGCTCACGTTTGTGGCTGAATGCTTTCCTAGTAGAATGCTCTTCTTCAGGCTGTTACCAGCTCACTACACAACATGACTGCACTATGGGGCTCCCTCTGTGGAGGAGCAGCCACGGCACGTGTGAGTGCTCCACAGCAGCTGGTCAGTCTGACACTCCTGCCACGTGTGCCCACACCAACAGATCTGGTTCCAAAGGTACCCGAGAACGGGGAGTGTGCACTTTTCCAGCCCAGCTCCCTAAGGACAAGCCCAGCCTGGCAGCTTTCAGACCACTGTGCGGTTTGCTGAGTAGGGACACACAACTGGCCGTGCCTTTCCCTGCAGACCCCAAGGGAGCTCCAGTTCCCAGCCAGGCAGTAATTCTGTCAGGGATTTCAATGACCAAGTCAGGTTCCTTGTTTACAGGAGCAGGCTCTCACTGAGCGAAGTGTCGGGAGGACACCATGCATTTGTTTGGGGTTAAAATGCAGAAGGGTTCGCGCAGCAGCCAGCGCTCTCTTAGCAGTGACAAAGGAAGCATGCAGGCCTGATTGTCCCCACTTTCCTAAGCTGGTGGCATTTCACACCTGCTCTGCATTGCTGTAAGTGGCTGCACCAAAGGCAGGGCAGGGTGAATCAGCCCCTCTCCTCCCAGGATAGCTCCTAGGACTCCATTACGCTAGGGGCTGTGCATCCCGGCCTAGTGAGAAACTGCTACTTCCTTTTTCCACCTCAACCCGTTGGCAATAGATGGCCAGAGCCCAGCACACACAGTGTAGGACTTTTCAGCTGTAAGATGGCAATTGCAGCCCCCGCAGGCCAGACCACCCCCTCGTGGCCCATCAGGAAAGGAGCCAGCACTTTGCTCCGGGTAGCAAAGCGTCATATCTGACAGCACACCCAGAGGAAAGCTCTGCCTGGTAAGCCATCGTCAGCACCAGAGACCCGCAATCGGAAGAGTCAGACCAGTGTGTGAGATGCACAAGCTGGAAGAGAACCCAGCTCGCTCTCTGTAGTGGGTCTGCTGCCCCACTCCTGGGTAAACAGGGCTGTGGCCGGGTGAGCCAATCAGCTAGGCCTATTGGCCTAGCAGCCTCAGCTGTGGCCACGCCCCAATCAGGGCCCAGCTGGCCCTTATAAGAGGGCAGTGGGCCAGGAGCAAGCATTCCCTAGCTGCCTGAGTGCTAAAGGGTACTGGAGTGAAGCAGGGCTGGGGGAAAGGCCAGAGGAGCTGGGGAGCTCCGGGCCGGCAACTCCCCAGGCTGCAGGGCCTTGTACAAAGCCCCTGGAGGTACTGGGTTGCAGGGAAAGGCAGCAGGTCAAAACCTCCCTTGCCTATGATGACTGACTTATACAGACTGCAGTCGGCCCCAATGAAAGGGGGCTAGATGGTGATTGGCAGTAGCCCATAGGCTGAGGTAAGGTGGGGATAGAGGGTGGGGATTCCCTGGGGGAGGGGAGACCCAGATCTGTGGGGTATTGCCTGCACGGGTAGCACCCCAGATAAAAGGGCACTGGGGTCAGGGAGGGACATGGGGGCCAGTGACGGCAAGACACTGGCAGAGGGCGCTCCGGAACTGGTAAAAAGAGCTAATTCCCGGATAAACCAGCAGGAGGCGCTACTGGGTGAGTCTCCGCCCCGCTACTCTCCCCCAGAGGTAAAGCACTTATTTGCAACTGAAGTCTGGGCACATGTGTCTGACCAATACGTGGCGCTTTTTTAGTTGCTTTTCTCAACACATCTGCACTTTGAGGAGGAGGAGAGGAGCAGTAAGAAGCGCAAGAGTTGCCTGCCTTAAAAGGTGACTGACAGGGTCCTTGGAAGGGAGAGGAATCAGTCATATCAAGCCTCCTGTGGTGGCGTTCTCCCCCATGTTAGCCCATGTAAGATGGCTCCCGTACCCTTCTGTGATGGGGTAATAGTACCTAGTGGTCAGTCTACCCCGCCCCCTGGGATGGCCCTTTAGGGGTCTGGAAGGGTCCAGCACATACAGAGAATGACCTAACCAACTAAAGCCTTCTTCTGCCCTGGAGCTGTGCCCCACCCCCACTGACTTGGCTTCCCCTGGATGGGACAAGGTGGCTCCTGCTTCAGCTCTGCCCTCCCCTCCCAGAAGCAAGGAGAGAACTGGGAGGGAAGAAAGAGAGCTGCCCCCTTCCATCCATGAACAATGTGCCGCCCAGCAGCTTCCTCCGTCCTCCTGCCACCCCTAGCCAGTCTCCTGGCAGCTCCAGTCTTTGCAGGGACAGAGAAGACAGGGGAAGTCAGCAATCACTGGGAGAGGGTGGCCAGTGTTAGCAGTGTGGAGGATTGGATGGCCAGTATTCACTGCAGGGTGGGGTGGGGGGTTAAACACTGCATTCATTGTAACAGGGTGTGGCATCAATATTAACTGAGCCTGCATGTGGCACAGACATGACTTGGAGGTGGGGGGGGGGGGGGGGGAAGAGTGCTGGTCTCTTAGAAGGACACTGTAGATATGAACTCAGCTGCAGCCAGTCATGTAATGAGCTTGGGTTTAGAGCCAGTGAACACTGGTGCTCATAAAAGCAGTTTTGTAATGCCAGCCAGGAGATGGGATTTCTGTTCTGCAAAAAAAATTGAGTTTGAGGGAAAATATCATAGAATCATAGAATATTAGGGTTGGAAGGGACCTCAGGAGATTATCTAGTCCAACCCCCTGCTCAAAGCAGGATCAATCCCCAACTAAATCCCCAAATGGCCCCCTCAAGGATTGAACTCACAACCCTGGGTTTAGCAGGCCAACGCTCAAACCACTGAGCTATCCCTCCCCCCAAGGTCATTGAGTCTAGCCCTCTGCCAGCAGGACCAAGTACTGATTTTGCCCTAGATCCCTAAGTAGCCTCCTGAATCAGGACAAAAAGCCACAAAACTTGAATTTTTTGTGGGGATGAAATTCCTAAATTTTTTGCTTTGGAAATACTGACACATTCCCACAGTGGGACCACTTCAATGTTTCCAAAACAAAACGTGCTCCCCTGGAATCACCTGCTCTGTGGTAGCACAAGGAGCTGATTGTCTGGGAAGCCCACCAGGTGAGCTGCGGAGAACAAGGGAGCCCCGGTGGCCAGTCTGCCTGCCTGTTTACGCGGCACATTCCGATCCCACCAAACCAGTCCTTTTGGATGGAATGTCCAGCCAGCACTAGGTGTTTGATGGGGAGCAGTAGTGAATGGAGGATCCATCTTACAAGAAAGCAGGTGGAACCAAGAGGGGCAGGGGTATCTTCCCAGCCCTGTACCAGTGAGTGTCGTTTGAATGGGAAGGGTTAGGATAATGTCCTAGCTCTACACCATCATGAATTTAGGAGAGGATTCAAAGTAACAGATCTGGCTGAGATTTAAAGAAGGTTTACAAACTATTCCTCTTACAAACGCCACAGAAAGCAGGATACATACAGGCGGTGTGTGGGTTTGTGCAAATGAGAGACACCACCAGCACGTCGGGGACTTAAAACACATAACTGATTGGTTAGCTGCAGTTCAGTTGCTCCTAAACTCAACCTGCTACAGATCAAGCATCATGTGTCAACTATAACCTAGCACATGCCAGCCCAGAGCTGGACTGTCCTCTTATTCCATCTCAACCTTCGATACGTGAAATGCACCAGCGAGCGAATTAGGTTCACGTACATTTACAACCTCATAGTTAAAAAATGCATCTGCAGTTAACTGTCTGGGACAGTAATTTTGATACTGGAATTCATACCATGTGAAACTATCTCTATTAACAAGCTGCCCCAGTCCACTCCTCCACCAAATTATCAGAGGAACATTTGTGCCATAGATTGCTACGGTGAAGAAGAGCCAGACCGCACTGGCCTGCTTTACCGGTCTGCTTTTAAAGAGATACGATAGCTACATGCACGCTGCCAAACCCCACTGAAAAATATGACTGATGCAACCCCAAACACTCACCTGTAAGGAAACAACTCCATGAAGCTCCACAACAGCAAGTCTCAACTGACTTTTCTTCAGTTACATCTGAATGTAACAGCACTGAGAACATTTTTACATTCATCAACAGGTCCAAATGGGTGCACAGCAGGTAATCAAAGGGTCCATAGAATTTCAATCCCAGTGTTTCATCTCCAGCCAATAATGCTGTCATCTGATTGCTGCAAGACTATTGTTTCACGTCACATCTGGTCATCAGTGACCTTCAGATTGCACTGTACACTTAAGTTCTCAAGGGTATCTCAGGAGAGACACACTTAGCTGTGTTCCCACTTCAAATAGTTCAGAGTTCCAAAGTCTGGTCTCATTGTAAAGGCAGGACTCCAGACCCAAGAGAGACAGTAGCACTACAGATCCTTCAGCCACACCGCAGTTTCACACGCCGCCCGATATAAAACCTTTAGCACTAGCATTACCATTCATCTGAAGGAGAGAAGGACAAAGAAACCATCATGTAGCAGCAGTCTTTCATGGCTTATAGTGTTCATGATGAACAGATTAATACACATTCTATTTTCTTCCAGATGCCAAATATGGTGAGTACTCAGTCTAAATAAAATGGCCCTTTTTCAGAACAGACAGGGTTTCTTTTGTCATGGGTTTGCTGGCAAATGAGTCACCACCACAACTACTACGGGATGGGGGCACTAGTGTTAGGTGCTACCTAGGGCAGACAAGCCTTACAGTGTTTGTGTTCCATCTCAAACTGTTTAGTTTGAGGATAGAAATGTATTTGCTTCTGAGATCTAACACAGTGTCAAACAAACAAAAGGAGAGGTGTGCAGCTGTGGTTCAGGAGCTTCAGGAGATGCAAGGTCTACAGACAGAGCTGTGTTTGAAAACACACAACTCAACACAGCTTCCCCCCCTCCCAAGCTGGTTAATCACAGTTGGCCCATTGCAGGGAGGCCAGGGCAAACTGTGCTCAGAACTAGTGTCAGATAGTGAACGAAACCAGTGAGGATCTAAAAGCAGGAAAGAACACCAAGGCTGGTGCCCAAGATGAGAACAGCTGGCCACGTATCCAGCTGACATTCTTTGCACACCTTTGTCTGCTACCATTATAGAGCGCACCCCTCCCCACAAGGGGGAACACATGGGATATGAATCTCTGAAGAGGAACTCAGCAAAAGGTTTGGGAACCTCTGCCATAGCAGAAGCTTGCATCCAGAGAAGCGAAGACACCATTTTAAAACCTGGACCTTTCTATCTGCTTTGAGCAGGGGTTTGGACTAGATGAAACTCCTGAGGTCCCTTCCAACCCTGATATTCTATGATTCTATGATCAAGTGATCTGTAGCCAGAAGAACAAAAATAAAGGATACTTCCTGTAACTGGGAGTTCTTTGAGATGTGTGGTCCCTATCTGTATTCCACACATGGGCAGGCATGTGTGCCATGCGCCCGAGTCCACAGATTTTAACAAGGAGTGTCAGCTGGCCCGCACACGCACAGTAGATCTCCTTATGCTCCCGAGCAAGGGTACAAGAGGAAGAGTGGGTCGATGCCCCCTCAGTTCCTCTTTCTGCGAATTTAACCAGAGGGGACGGAGGGCGGGCCGTGGAATACACAGAAGGACCACACATCTCAAAGAACTTCCCATTACAGTCAGCAACCACCATTTCTTCAAGAGCTGGTCCCTACATGTAGTCCACGCATGGGTGATTGGCAAGCAGTGCTCAGGCTGGAGGTGAAGGCAAGGAAGCCAGCAACAAAGATGTGTGCACTACTGCAGATCCCACTGCTGCATTTGCAGCAGAGGCCCGGACTAGTGCGCAATGTATAGCAAATGTGTGTCTGGAGCTCCAAGTCGCTGCTCTGCATATGTCCTGTGTTGAGACTTCCTGCAGGGATGCTATCATGTGCTCTCGGGGAGTGTGCTGTTATGCCTCCGGGAGGCGGAATGTGAGCTAGCATGTAGCACTTGATAATGCAGCCAGGAACCCACTTAGAAATCCTTTGAGACGATATAGCTGTGACAGTCCACACCTTGGGGGAGTGTGCTTTAACCCCCATAGTCCTCATTTTTATATAATCGCGATCTTACGTATAAAGCAGGCCTTGTAAGGTATCAGGGGAAAGGCTATGATCTGCTGAAAGTCATTTCTCTATCCATAGATGTATATCATCAATGCATGTGAAGTTATGAGAATTGTGTTGTATGGTGGTCACTAAAACATGCTGTAAGTTGGGGAATCAGCCAGATATTAGCTCCCCAGAGACAACAGCATGGAAAATAACCAGCGCCTGGGTGGGTATCAAACAACCATCAACAACCATTGTCCAGCAATGGAGCTACAATTCAATGACTCACCTGCATGAGGCCACACCAGGGGAATCGCTCAACCTTGCCTGGAGACTCAGCAATGCCTGGACTTGCGTTTTCCAAGCACACAGACTGAGGGTATAAAACAGACAGAGGGGCCATATGTTTGGCCTCTTCTCCTGCCCCCACCTATGCTGCAAGCAACCAAGACACTGAGAAGACAAGACTCCAACAGAGGATGTTGGCCCAGGTTTAAGGAACAAACCTGTATATTAAGGACTGCAATATCCAGTGGGGTGAGAAAAACTGCTTAATCTAGATGTTTTCCCGTCTAATAGGGTTGAGAGTTTAGACTGCGTGCTTATATTTCATTTCTTTTGGTAACTAACTCTGACTTTTTGCCTATCACTTATAATCACTTAAAATCTATTCTTTGTAGTCAATAAATTTGTTTTAACTGTTTATCTTTACCAGTGAGGTTGTATGAAGTGTGTGGCAAATCTGCTCAGGTTTGACAGAGGCTGGTGTATATCCACTTTCCATTCATGAAGTGGTGAACCAATTAATAAATTTGCATTGCTCGTCTTGAGCAGCGCAAGATGGTACATTCCTGGGGTACAGTGCTGGGAGCTGGGGGGATTTGGCTGGTGCCTTTCCCTGTGTGATTCATGAGTGGCTCTGGGAGCATTCATGCAATCTAGCTGGGTGTGGGGCTCCACATGCTGTTGTGCTGAGTGATAACAGCTCCTGGAGGGGTTTGCTGCTGGTCATTAGCAAGGCATTGTGAGAGACAAGTGGTGTCCTCGTCCATCCTCCCTGTGCAAGGAAAAGGCCTGGGTAGAGACCGTCGAATCGTGGAAGTCAACGAATGGCTACGCAGGTGGTGTCAGAGAGAAGGCTTTGGATTCTTTGACCATGGGATGGTGTTCCAAGAAGGAGGAGTGCTAGGCAGAGACGGGCTCCACCTAACGAAGAGAGGGAAGAGCATCTTCGCAAGCAGGCTGGCTGACCTAGTGAGGGGGGCTTTAAACTAGGTTCACCGGGGGAAGGAGACCAAAGCCCTGAGGTAAGTGGGGAAGTGGGATACCGGGAGGAAGCAAAAGCAGGAGAGCGCAAGAGGGGAGGACTCCTGCCTCATACTGAGAAAGCAGGATGATCAGCGAGTTATATTAAGTGCCTATACACAAATGCAAGAAGCCTGGGAAACAAGCAGGGAGAACTGGAAGTCCTGGCACAGTCAGGGAACTATGATGCAATTGGAATAACAGAGACGTGGTGGGATAACTCACATGACTGGAATACTGTCATGGATGGATATAAACTGTTCAGGAAGGACAGGCAGGGCAGAAAAGGTGGGGGAGTTGCGTTGTATGTAAGAGAGGAATATGACTGCTCAGAGCTCCGGTATGAAACTGCAGAAAAACCTGAGAGTCTCTGGATAAAGTTGAGAAGTGTGAGCAACAAGGGTGATGTCGTGGTCGGAGTCTGCTATAGACCACCAGACCAGGGGGATGAGGTGGACGAGGCTTTCTTCTGGCAACTAGCAAAAGTTGCTAGATCGCAGGCCCTGGTTCTCATGGGAGACTTTAATCATCCTGATAGCTGCTGGGAGAGCAATACGGGGGTGCACAGACAATCCAGGAAGTTTTTGGAAAGTGTAGGGGACAATTTCCTGGTGCAAGTGCTGGAGGAACCAACTAGGGGCAGAGCTTTTCATGACCTGCTGCTCACAAACAGGGAAGAATTAGTAGGGGAAGCAAAAGTGGATGGGAACCTGGGAGGCAGTGACCATGAGATGGTCGAGTTCAGGATCCTGACGCAAGGAAGAAAGGAGAGCAGCAGAATACAGACCCTGGACTTCAGAAAAGCAGACTTTGACTCCCTCAGGGAACAGATGGGCAGGATCCCCTGGGAGAATAACATGAAGGGCAAAGGGGTCCAGGAGAGCTGGCTGTATTTTAAAGAATCCTTATTGCGGTTGCAGGAACAAACCATCCCGATGTGTAGAAAGAATAGTAAATATGGCAGGCGACCAGCTTGGCTAAACAGTGAAATCCTTGCTGATCTTAAACGCAAAAAAGAAGCTTACAAGAAGTGGAAGATTGGACAAATGACCAGGGAGGAGTATAAAAATATTGCTCAGGCATGCAGGAGTGAAATCAGGAAGGCCAAATCACACTTGGAGTTGCAGCTAGCAAGAGATGTTAAGAGTAACAAGAAGGGTTTCTTCAGGTATGTTAGCAACAAGAAGAAAGTCAAGGAAAGTGTCAGCCCCTTACTGAATGAGGGAGGCAACCTAGTAACAGAGGATGTGGAAAAAGCTAATGAACTCAATTTTTTTGCCTCTGTTTTCACGAACAAGGTCAGCTCCCAGACTGCTGCACTGGGCAGCACAGTATGGGGAGAAGGTGACCAGCCCTCTGTGGAGAAAGAAGTGGTTCGGGACTATTTAGAAAAACTGGACGAGCACAAGTCCATGGGGCCGGATGCGCTGCATCCGAGCGTGCTAAAGGAGTTGGCGGATGTGATTGCAGAGCCATTGGCCATTATTTTTGAAAACTCATGGCGATCGGGGGAGGTCCCGGATGACTGGAAAAAGGCTAATGTAGTGCCCATCTTTAAAAAAGGGAAGGAGGAGGATCCGGGGAACTACAGGCCAGCTTCACCTCAGTCCCTGGAAAAATCATGGAGCAGGTCCTCAAGGAATCAATTATGAAACACTTAGAGGAGAGGAAAGTGATCAGGAACAGTCAGCATGGATTCACCAAGGGGAAGTTGTGCCTGACTAACCTAATTGCCTTCTATGATGAGATAACTGGCTCTGTGGATGAGGGGAAAGCAGTGGATGTGTTATTCCTAGACTTTAGCAAAGCTTTTGATATGGTCTCCCACAGTATTCTTGCCGCCAAGTTAAAGAAGTATGGGCTGGATGAATGGACTGTAAGGTGGATAGAAAGCTGGCTAGATCGTCGGGCTCAATGGGTAGCGATCAATGGCTCCATGTCTAGTTGGCAGCCGGTTTCGAGCGGAGTGCCCCAAGGGTCGGTCCTGGGGCCGGTTTTGTTTAATGTCTTTATTAATGATCTGGATGATGGTGTGGACTGCACTCTCAGCAAGTTTGCAGATGACACTAAACTGGGAGGCGTGGTAGATACACTAGAGGGTAGGGATCGGATACAGAGGGACCTAGACAAATTAGAGGACTGGGCCAAAAAAAACCTGATGAGGTTCAACAAGGACAAGTGCAGAGTCCTACACTTAGGACGGAAGAATCCCATGCACCGCTACAGACTAGGAACCGAATGGCTAGGTAGCAGTTCTGCAGAAAAGGACCTAGGGGTCACAGTGGACGAGAAGCTGGATATGAGTCAACAGTGTGCTCTTGTTGCCAAGAAGGCTAACGGCATTTTGGGCTGTATAAGTAGGGGCATTGCCAGCAGATCGAGGGACGTGATCGTTCCCCTTTATTCGACATTGGTGAGGCCTCATCTGGAGTACTGTGTCCAGTTTTGGGCCCCACACTACAAGAAGGATGTGGAAAAATTGAAAAGAGTCCAGCGGAGGGCAACAAAAATGATTAGGGGTCTGGAGCACATGACTTATGAGGAGAGGCTGAGGGAACTGGGATTGTTTAGTCTCCAGAAGAGAAGAATGAGGGGGGATTTGATAGCTGCTTTCAACTACCTGTGGGGGGGGTTCCAAAGAGGATGGAACTCGGCTGTTCTCAATGGTGGCAGATGACAGAACAAGGAGCAATGGTCTCAAGTTGCAGTGGGGGAGGTCTAGGTTGGATATTAGGAAACACTATTTCACTAGGAGGGTGGTGAAGCACTGGAATGCGTTACCTAGGGAGGTGGTGGAATCTCCTTCGTTAGAGGTTTTTAAGGCCCGGCTTGACAAAGCCCTGGCTGGGATGATTTAGTTGTGAATTGGTCCTGCTTTGAGCAGGGGGTTGGACTAGATGACCTCCTGAGGTCCCTTCCAACCCTGATATTCTATGATTCTATAGCTCAGGCTGGAGAGAGTTCAGCGGGCACAGTGGTCCCACAAGTCCCAGGCTGCACCCCGGGAATCCCGTCACAATAGCTTGAGCTTGAGATCTCGCAGGTATCATGATAGAGTGTCTTGGTGACTTTCTGATGGGTTTTGGTTCTTTGCAGGTAAAAAGCCAGCGAATGCTGGACGTCAAGGGAATGAAGTCTCTTCTCTTTGGGAGAAGTGTGGGGTTTGGGAAAAGAGACGGGTAAGTGAATACGCTGGTTAAGGTAAAATTCAGAGACTAGCTTGGGAAGAAATTCAGGGTGAAACCTTGTCCTTCTGAAATACCGTAAAGGGAGGATCTGCCATGAGGGCTCCCAGTTTGTTGACCCTCCTGGCCGAAGCGATGGCCACACCACCACTTTCCTGGATGGTGACACAGGGAGTGGGAGTAGAGACGGGTACCTTTTTATGTTTTGCCCATCAAACGAAGGAGGCCATGATCCTGGTGGGAACCTTGGAGTTGATGTGGTCCTTGTTGGGTGAGTAGACTGAGCTGAGCCAGGCCTGTAGGCAACACAGATGAAGTCTGGCAAAGTGTGTCACATTAGAACATGCTGCCACATGGCCTAGCAGTGATATGCACATTCTCACTGTAGTCTTTGGTCTGCGGGAAATCAAATAAAACAGGTTGCACATCATTTGAAACCTTTCTGCGGGGAGGAAGGCTCTTGCAGAAAGAGTCCATTGTTGCCCCAACACATTTTGTCAGCTTCATGAGGGATAAAATGGATTTTTCTCTGTTCACGCAAACCCCCAGTGCTGTGAGAAGCTGAATGAGGAATTTAATAGCTGACGTGATCTCCCATCGAGAAGGTCCTAACAGGAGCCAGTCATCCAGATACAGAAAAACTGTATGGCCCTGACATCTCATCAGTGCTGCCACCACAGAAAAAACGTTTGTAAACACTTTGGGTGCTACCACTAGTCCAAAGGGGAGGACTTGGAATTAGAAGTGCTCCTGACCCACCATGAACTGTATGAGCCTCCTGTGGAAAGGGTGAATGTCTATATGAAAATATGCATCCATGTTGAGAGCTGCAACCCATATTACCTCTTTGAGAGGAGACTATTGATGCCAACGTAACCATCCTGAATTTTGACTTTCAAATGAAGATGTTGAGGTGCTAAAGATCCAGATTGGGTCTCCATCCTCAGTGTTTTTGGGGACTAGGAAATATGGACACTAGAACCCTCTTCCTTGATACTGAGGCAGGACGTGTTCTATTGCCCATCGGTATAATAGGGATTCCATTTCCTGTTGAAGGGTCATCTAGTGAGACTGGTCCCCAAAGAGGGACCAGGAAGGGGGCTTGTGCAGAGGGAAGGGGAGGAACTCTATAGAGTATCCCTGATGGATAATCTCCAAGACCCAACTGTCGTGATTAGCTCCCAGTTCCAGGTGAAAAGAGTAAGATGGCCCCCAAAGGTGATGGAAAAAAGGATAGGTGGCATCAGAGATGGCACATAGGTCTCAACTAAGATGCCAAAAGTGGCTCCTAGCAGTGGGCTGGGAATGGGTTGTGATTGAGGTGGTAGAGGGGACTTTAGAAAGCATGAGGAGGAGGAGGTGGTCTGCCTCTAGTGCTTCCTTCTCAGGACTGGTGAGCAGATCCCCAAGGAGCAAAGGTCAGACATCAAGTCCTTTAACGAATAAAGAGAGTCATCAATTTTCTCATTGAAGAAGTTCAACTTGTCAAAGGGAAGATCTTGGATAGTATTCTGCACTTCCCCGGGAAAGTCCGAGGATTGCAACCAAGAATCCCTCCTCACAACAATACCAGTGGCCAAGCTTGTTGATGCTCGATCCACTGCATCAACTGCAGCCTGAACAGCCATTTTTGCCACCAACTTGCCCTCCTCTAGTAAGGAGAGGAATTGGGCTCTGTCACCAGGGGAAAGTTTGCCCTGAAAGGCCACCAGCCTAGAGAAGTTGTTGAAGTTGTATTTTGGTGATGCGGAATTGCAAGCCCACAAAGACGACCTTTCTCCCCAGGAGGTCCAGTCTCCTGAAGCCTTTGTCTGACGGGATGGTCCTTAGGTATAGTGACCTAGTCCTCTCGGTAGCAACCTGTACCAGCAGAGAGTCTGGAGCAGGGTGGGAAAATAAAAATTTGGCTCCCTTTGGTGGGACCAAAAAGCGCCTGTTGGCCCTCAGAGGTGTGGGAGTACAGGATGATGGGGTGTGCCAATCTTACTAGTTCCAATACAGCCTCATTAACTGGGAGGACCACCTTACTTGGGCCCTGAGGCTGCAGAATGTCCAACCAGTTGGTGTGGGCCTTGGGTTTCCTCCAGAGGTATCTAGAGACAATTAGCCACTCTTTGCACAAGTCATGGTATTGCTGATGATTGTCCAGCGGGGATGGGGAAGAGAAGGAGATTCCCATCGGAACTGTCTGTATCTGTGGTTCTGGTTCGACATCCTCCTCCTCCTCATATACCAATGAATCTGGTTGTGGGTGAGAAGGAGAAGAGTGAAAAGTCTCCTGGGTGAGTCCCAGGCATCTGCTATCAGGATCCTACAGTCCCCAATAAGGCCTGAAAGAGGGGCCAACTGTGTTTGAGGGGGACCCCGTGGCATGGGAAACCGTCAGTCCCTAAGAAAGTCATGACTATTAAGGTAGCAACTGTAAGTCCTGGATTGCCTGTTTGGGCTTGGCTCTCTCTGGGGGGGATGAAGAAGGAGCCAGCTCATCAAATTCATCTGAATCTGAAAACTGCTCCTGTTGGAATGGCGGAGCTGGCAGCAGCTGTCAATGCTGCCTGATGATTGTAAGTGAGATGGTTCCTGGGACAACAACATACTATCGTCTTCTGGTGTAGTAATGTCCCTCAGGAGGGCTGGGCCAGAGAAGAGGGGAGACTGTGGATAGGGGAGAAAAGTATCCTCTGGTGCCTTGTAGGTCTGAATATGAATATATGCACGGGAGGTTCGGATGGTCGGCACCAACGGTATGGGTGCATTCCTGAGCGTGATGAGTTCTTTGGGCAGGTAAGTCAGTACCAAAGAGGCTGGACCGCTGTGGACAGGACCAGCAGACGGCTGTCTTTATGCTTCAATTCCAGAATCACCAGTGCATTCTTCTTCTTCCTACATGCTTTACCCTCAAGCCAGGGTTGTGTGTGGTTTGTTTTTTTGGTTTTTTTAATTGTTGTGGGTTTTTGTTTTGGTCTGTCAGAACTGGTTCTTTAGGACATGTAAGGGTTTGCCTGACCTCAATGGGCTCGGGGAAGGAGCACATCTCTTATGGACAGTCACTGACGGAGTCTGTCCTCGTGCCCATGAGTGCCCCTTACTTTCGTGGGAAGTCCTGGAGGGCTCCACTCCTAAGCATGTGCTCATCAGGGCGCTGCTCATTTGTTGAGGCTGAAGTACACATATGTCTCCCTAGCTGGATCGGAGAGGGGCCTCATGGCCTTCTTCATCAAGCATTCCTAAGGCAAAGCTGACGGGCTTTGTGATTTCTCAGTGGAAACAAGAGACAAAATATGCACGTCACCCAAACAGTGGAGGCAGCATTGCTATTCGTCACTGATGGAAAAGGACCTAGGGCGGGAGATGCAGTTTTTGAAGCCTGGGACTCTGCGCATAGTCCCAGACCATGGGGAAGAAGTCCTTGGTCTAGGGAAACAAACTACACTAGAACTATAACTGTACTAAGCTAAAAAGAATAATTATTCACCAACCATTTTATTTACAGGTTTTCTGAAAAGCTGAAGAAGGAGAGAACACTGGATTCGGACTCAGGCCATGTGGTGGCGTCTACGCACACTGCCTCTGATACTCTCAACTTTTAACACGAGGAGATCTACTGCGCCAACAGACACTGCTTGTTAAATTCTCTGGGCGTGGGAGCATGGTGTGCCTGTGTACCCACACATGGAATATGCACATGGACCAGCACTCAAAGAAGAATCACCAGTTAGTCAAACATTTCCTTCATTCAGCAAAACAAACGGAGGAGGATTTTGCTTTACTGTACCTTTATTCTGAGAAGGGGATGTCCACATCCCACTAATAATTAGAACAGTCCCTGGGCTCTGTGGCGGCTAGTTTTCAAAAATGCTTAGCGAGGGCTTGTCTTATGTAGGGTTTTTGGCGTGTACTGAAATTGGGGGTCCGTGCGTCTCTCAGAGCTCACTTGGAACAAGGGCTGATGAGTGTCGGGGTGGGGGGGTAAACCAAGGCGACATTGACTCGCTCGCTGCCATTCCTGGGGCAGATTATCTCCGTCACTCCCTCTGGTCTAGGCTGACTCAGCAATTCTCCTGAGAGAGAGAAAGAGAGGAAAAAAAAACACACACATTGAGCATCACAGTCATATTCACAAGACAGCTCATTTCATGAAGACCCATAAGGGAGACATCTAAGACCAATGTCACAAAATGTTCTATAAGGAATTTTATTTTTCAACCCAACAAAATTCTCATCTGCATAACCATGGTGGTGATTATAGCTGGAAGAACGTTGCTCCAGACAAAGACAACATCTGCCATTACTCCCGGCTCCCCTAACCTGATCACCACAGACTGACTCAAAAGATCTTTAGCTAGACACTGCAAATTGAAGTGGGTCTCTAGAGTCTAATGAGGCAAGGACTGCAGAGTAGGTGTTCCTAATTAGGATTCAAGGGCAGATGGGATCTGAAATTCACCTTCCAACAAAGCTCTGCATACACAATATGAATTGTAGGTGTCAGTAAGGCAGCTGGCAGATCAGTGGAGACAGCTATAGACATCCCCCTATTATTTGTGTCTATGCAGTACAGTGATCGGCACCCTCCCCCCCCCCCCCCCCCCCCCCCCCCAAGAGATTACCCTACCATGGAATAAGTCAGTACAAATCTAGCTAGAGGGATTCTATGACTACCCAGTGGAGACTCTATTCCTTTGCATTAATCAGAAGTGACCAAATTTGAGCATCATTAAAAATTTAGATTCTGGGATGCAACTTTCCCAGGGGCTGCTGCTCTCTAGCTCAGAGATCATGCTGCACCAGGCTGCTGGCTCTTTGTTTGCTGGCTGGAGTACGTGTCCTATGCTCCCATTTAGAGCAAAATGCTGTGTGTCAAATCCTGCTCTCAGAAACTCCTGCACAACCCTCCATGCAGTCGATGGGAGTTCCAGGGGCGCATTCCACGGCAGAATGTTGGCCTCTTATTTTGACCTTTTGCACAGTGTGCCCATCTTCTGCATTGGCCCTTATGGAATTAAGCAGAGCAAATACAAGAGCATTCTGCAGCTGCCTGCTGAGTGGCAGTGGTGGTGCATTTCTACAGCTGACCCATATGCCAGGGCTCACTTCAGCAACTATGCCATGAGTCAGGCAAGTTCATTTGTTTGATAAAAAGTTACTCCTGATTAGCCAGTTACTGACACCCAAAATCAGAGGAGTCAAGGGAGGGCCCTGCGTCAGCTACAGTCATGTGAAGAGGACATAAGTGAAGAAACAAATGGACCAAGCCCTGAGTGTTTGATCCTGGAATAAAGAGCTGTCGTAGCAATGTCCCTTTACTCTCAGGCCTGGTCTACACTACAGGGTTAGGTCGAATTTAGCCACGTTAGGTCAATTTAAAAATGAATGCGTCCACACAACCAATCCTGTTCCATCGACCTAAAGGGCTCTTAAAATCGAATTCTGTACTCCTCCCCGGCGAGGGGAGTGGCGCTAAAATCGACTTTGCTAGGTCGAATTTGGGGTAGTGCGGACACAAATTGACGGTATTGGCCTCCAGGAGCTATCCCAGAGTGCTCCACTGTGACCGCTCTTGACAGCACTTTTAACTCCGATGCACTAGCCAGGTACACAGGAAAACTTTTGAATTTCATTTCCTGTTTGGTCAGCGTGGCATACTCAGCAGCACAGGTGACCATGCAGTCCCCCCAGAATCGTAGAGCGTAGAATGTTTCTATGCTCCCCCTCTCATCTCCGTCCCTGAGGTTATCGCAGATTAGAAGGCGAAAAAAACACACTCATGATGACATGTTTTCCAAGCTCATGCAGTCCTCCCGCACTGATAGGGCACAGCTTAATGCATGGAGGCAATTCAGTGGCAGAGGCCAGGAAAGAATTAAGTGAGCACGAAGAGCGGAGGCAGGACGCAATGCTGAGGCTAATGGGGGAGCAAACGGACATGATGAAGCGTCTGTTGGAGCTGCAGGAACGCCAACAAGAGCACAGACCCCCGCTGCATCCACTGTATAACCACCTACCCTCCTCCCCATGTTCCATAGCCTCCTCACCCAGACGCCCAAGAACGCAGGGGGGAGGCTGCGGGCACCCAGCCACTCCACTGCAGAGGATGGCCCAAGCAACAGAAGGCTGTCATTCAAACAGTTTGACTTTTAGTGTGGCTACAATAAGCAATGTGGCCTTGTCCTTCCCTCCTCCTCTACCTCACCCGGGCTACCTTGTCCGCTATCTCACTTTTTTTAATTAATAAAGAAAGAATGCATGGTTTCAAAACAATAGTTACTTTATTTTGAAGGGGGGAGGGTGATTGGCTTACAGGGAATTAAAATCAACAAAGGGGCGGGTTTGCATCAAGGAGAAACACACACAACTGTCACACCGAAGCCTGGACAGTCATGAAACTGGTTTTCAAAGCCTCTCTGATGCGTAGTGCACCTTGCTGTGCTCTTTTAATCGCCCAGGTGTCTGGCGTTAAACAATTGTCTGCCGTTGCTTTCACGGAGGGAGGGGTGACTGACAACATGTATCCAAAACCACCCGCAACAATGTTTTGCCCCATCAGGCATTGGGAGCTTAACCCAGATTTCCAATGGGCGGCGGAGACTGCGGGAACTGTGGGATAGCTACCCACGGTGCACCGCTCCGTAAGTCAATGCTAGCCACGGTAGTGAGGACGCACTCCGCCAACTTAATGCGCTTAGTGTGGACATACGCAATCGACTGTATAAAATCGATTTCAGCTGCTAAATCATGTTAAAAACAGCTAAAAATACATTAAATAATGTCCCTCATTTTACTTTTCCATGTAAGCAACAGCTGCCGACACCTGTGGAACCTGACCTGATTGCTAGCAGCAGCAGCCCATGCCATGGTGAATGGGAGGGCAGTTGGCAGGAGATGTGGTCTGTGGTATGGAAGTTTTTGGGAACCCCGGGTTTAACCCCTCTACTCCCATCTCTGGGAGCAGCCTCTGGGACAGTGAGCTGGGTTTCACCATTTGTAACGAGCCCATTAAACAATACCTCAGACATTGATGATCATTCAAGTGAGAAGAGATAGAACAAGAAGAGCCCACAGCAGGCTCTCTTAATGTCCAGTTAAGAACAAGAGGCTGGGAATGGGGGATGGGAGGGGGAGAGACAGGAAGGCTAAATCAGAAATAGAATAAAAAGTCAAATCTCTGGAGGTTTCCCCAGCTCCATTAGGAGAGAACTCTTACTTATTTTCTAAGCCTCACCTTAGTCTTTAGCTTGTGCAAGTAGCCTTCCCACAGCACAGCTCTCATTGTAACCTCTCTAAACTAGGAGTGATAGTTGAGTCATTTCAAGTCTAAAAGTTCACATCATGCCATCCTACTGTAGTGTTCTCTTCCTGGGCATTGCTCCTGACCAACAAAAGTCCGATTCACAGCCCAGGGTAAAACTTGGCATTAAATATTTCAGAATAGTCATGACTAATTCAGGTTTCCCTCACCCAGTAATGATTATCCAAAGCACCACTATTGTCACAGCTTGCAGGCCACAGATGCAATACCCCATTAACAGCTGCACAGTAATGAGAGATGTTAGACTGAGAGCGCTATAGAGATATCCCTGCAGACATCTGCAGTGCAAGTATCCATCCCACTTGAAAATATCTCCACTGTGATGTGGAGGTGACAGTTCTACCAGTGATAAGGTATATCAGCGTCCACTAAACACTTTGCCGGTTTGCTTAGACTGCAGACAAAGATGCCAACTGTCCCAATGCTTGCTTGCTTGCTTGCGTGTCTCAGACAACTGTACACCAGCAACAGGACTGGGACTACCAGCTCATTTTACAAGCCCACCTGTCAGACTGTACCAAGCAAGTTACTACTGACCTAGATCAGATATGAAGTACTGATGGACCAAGATGGCAATTTCCTGCCATATCCTGGACAAACCTAACTGAATTAGGTTCAAGTATCTTAGGAGTTCGTTGTATTAAAAATGTCCGTGTTTTTATGGGTTTGTACATAACAGGGGTGGCCAAACTTACTGACCCTCTGAGCCACATACGACAATCTTCAGAAGTTGGAGAGCCAGGACACCCCTGCCAAGGCTCAGGGCTTCAGTCCCAAGACCCTCCTTCCCACACAGCTGAAGCCCTGAGACACCCCTCCCTGCTGGGCAGAAGTCAGCCCTAGCCCCACCACCCCACTGAAGGGAGGAAGCCCTGAGCTCTCCCTCCCCAGTCTGGTAGGCAGAGAATGGGAGGGAGGGGCCCTCGGCGAGCCGTACTTTAACTGGAAAAGAGCCATATGCAGCTCCCAAGCCGCAGTTTGGCCACCCTGGGATATAACATCTCTAGGGAGACATGACTGATGTAAACCCTGGGAAACATTAAGAGCGTAAAAGGGCTACTTGAAACAAAAGGCCAAGCTAGAGGGAATTTTCAAAGTGAAGTGAAATCTCTAGGGAGAGGTGTATGCACACAGACCCTTTCCGGCTATGCAAGAACTCAGCCTTCTGAATCTTCGCCCTTAGGAAGGGTCCATTGGCTGCTGATCAGCTGTTACACGAGGACAAGATCAAAGGTCCAAATGGTATAAAGAAGTGACCTCAGATTCCTGGGGTGCTTGTTCTGAGCCAAGTGGTTATGTGCTTGTAACCACAGAAAAACCTTTCGGTGGGGTCTGAGGGACTAATCACCAGCCAGAACCCTTGCTGGAGTTCAGGGAGAGCTCTCAGCTTGTTGAGTAGTTTCTTTTATTGGCTTGAATGTGTGTTGTGTGCAACGCTTGTGACCCTCAGAGCCGCTCAGTGCCAGCTGGCAGAGGGCCCACCATACTGTAACTTGTCAGGCCTGACGCACTCACTATCCCCAACTATCTGTTGTCATGTCGGGTATCACATGTAAACCGGTAACACACTGGTCCCAGAAGTCACTGCGTGAGGTATGTACAGGTGGTATTCAAGAGCTTGTGGGTGGGCTGGAAATACGTCCTTCGACTATGTTTGGGAGGCAGCGCGTACACCAAGCCTGACAAAGGAGTCTGGATTCACCTCTCTGACTGGCGTGACCTGAGGAAAAGACAGTTACCTTTTCTGTAACT